CAAGCGAGTCTCCTGCCTCTGCCTCCCAAGTAGCTGGGACCACAGGCGCCCGCCACAACGCCCGGCTATTTTTTTTGGTTGCAGCCATTGTTGTTTGGCGGGTCCGGGCTGGATTCGAACCTGCCACCTTAGGTGTACGTGGCTGGCGCCTTAGCCGCTTGAGCCACAGGCGCCGAGCCTGTTCTTTACTTTTGTCCGCGTTCGCTCTCCCAGCCTCTCCTGCCGGGGATGCTGCGCTGACATGCTCCATGACTTCCTAACCCGTCAGTCTTTTTGACTTTTCCCAGTGCACCGTTTGTTTTTTCAACCTCTTGGCTGACCGCTCCTTGCTTCCTTTTTACCCCGTCAGGTTTGAACCCACCACCTCCGGTGTATGGGGCCAGCACCCTACTCCTTTGAGCCACAGGCGCTGTCTCGCTCCCTACTTTCTGAAAGTCTCACCTTCATTGGCCCTTTTGATGCCAGATTAGCCTAGTTCTTCTGCTTCTGTCTGCTGTTTCACTGGTTTTACAGCATAAAGCCAAAGTTGATTCTCGTAAGTCCCAGTCAGGGGCCGCCAGCCCTTGTCTGTTTAGATTTTTCTCCTTGCAGAACCAAATCTACCGTAGTAGCAGCTGACACTGATTGCCTTCAGTGTAGTGTGCAACAGTCACGTTAAGTACGTTATTTTATTTAACTTTGGCAGCGATGCTTGGAGATGGGCACTACTTTTAGCTGGAGACTGATTCTACAGGGGCCACTGCCATATTATTCTTCCTAAAGCATTACCAATCCCTCGTCCTCCCCTTTATGAGTAGGTTAGATCCGATCTCCTAATTTTTCTCAAGTGTAGCTCCAGCCTACCTTTCTTGGCCAAGTACTTGTGTGTGATACATGCCTTCTCCCTCAGTCTAGCTGGTTCCTTTGCTGTGCTTAAACCAGTTGTGCTCAGATTTCCTTTAGACTGTGACTTAACTCATCTACTTGGATATACTGCACTTTCCTGTTTCTTTACTCATTTATCTCTTTGATTTATTTATTGGGCTTCACTATTGGGTCATAGTGCTCAAAAAGGGCTGCCCTCATGGGATTTACATTCTAGTGGGGAAAGAAAAACAATGAACTTAACAATAACTACAAATTGTATTATAGTAAGTATTATAATGAAGAGAAAGAATTGTACTGATACAGAATAAAACAGGCCCAGTTTATATAAAGTGGTCAGGAAAAGCCTTTCTGAGGAGGGTATATTTAAGGCAAAAGATGATTATGGTGGTAACAAACATTGAATTTCTAGTCCTACCCCAGGCTAGTGCTTTGCATGGGTTATCTCATTTGCTTTTAGCACAGCCGTACCAAGTAGGTTTTATTATTTACCCGTTTCTGTGGACTGAATATTTGTGTCCTGCTTGCCTCCAAATTCTTATGTTGAAGCCCTATTTCCACATTGTGTTATTTCTGGTTTATGTATTGATCAAAGCAACCTCAGAGCCTGCTGAATTTTAAGGGATATAGACACCATGATTAGGAAAAGTGAGATGAATAATCTTTGGAAATACAATTTGCTACAGTCCTTTCCTTAAGGAAGTGAGTCTAGCAAGGAAGGCAGATCTACAAACAGATATGATTTCCTATGTAGTAAGAATTTGTCTCTATGCTTATAAAACATTTAGGAAAGGGGAGTTGGTAAATAAGAACTCACAATTTCTGAATGCTTACCTACTGTGATAGCCACTAAGCTCTTCATTGCCATTTTATTTTCACAGTAACTTAGGTAAATACTGTTATTTCTCCTTTTTTACAAATGAGATACTACAATTTTTTTTGAGACAGAACCTCAAGCTATCCCCCTGGGTAGAGTGCCATAGCATCACAGCTCACAGCAACCTCAAACTCCTGGACTCAAGCGAGTCTCCTGCCTCTGCCTCCCAAGTAGCTGGGAATGCCTGCGCCTGCCACAACACCCGGCTATTTTTTGTTATTGTTGCAGTTGTCATTGTTGTTTTAGCTGGCCCAGGCCAGGTTCAAACCTGCCAGCCTCAGTGTATGTGGCCAGCACCCTACCTACTTAGCTACAGACGCCTCCCTTAACTATTCCTTAGTAGTTAGTTAAAATATAACTT